TGGGGGTGGTGGTGGTGGGGGGGGAGTGCAGCCTTGAGCACAGCCCTTATCTGTCTCCATGTTTGAATAGAGAGGCTGCTTGAATCACAGGAGCCAGCAGGCTCTGCGTTTAATTACCAGGTGCTTCTCATAAATTGTGGAAAGGCCACAACAAAGACAAGGAGAGGCCTGTTTATGTTCTCACACTCTTCTCTCCCCAGGCGAGGGCGCTCGTCCAGGCCTGGGGCTCCAAACAGGGTTCACACCGTGAGGACACTCCCTTTCTGCCCCAGCCTTGATTTCTGCGTCTCTCCGGATCAATAGACCCTGGTAGCCAGCTACCTGCCACCCTCTCCACATCCCTTCTGTGTAGTGGCTAAAACAACTGATCTTCTCTTGCACACCTGCCCCTCCCCGGCTTTCACAAAATGTTCCAGCCAGAAGGCATGCCCGCTCTGATTTATGTTTTCCCTCTACTCACCCAACCCATCGTCAGGTTGACCCCCGTTGGCCCTACATTCACCCACTTCTCCTGAGCCACTGTGCTCTCCCCATCCTTCCCTCTGGCTTCTCTGGTCCTCTCCCTGCAGCATCAGAGGGAGTGGTTAATGGAAGCCCAATCCTGTGTGTACTGCCTCTCTGCTAAAAGGCCTCCAATGACTTCTCATCAAACTTAGGGAGAATCTGCACTCAGCCTCGCTGGCCTTCTTGTTCCTCACACATACCAGGGGCTTCCCATGTCAGTTCTCTTGCACTTCTGTGTGGCTCACTTCTTTCGTTCAGATTTCAATCCATAAATACCTCTCCCTCCAGAGCAGCCTACCTGCCGGCTGTGCCGGAATCCCTGTCGTCACCTACTTTATTTTCTGCATAGCACTTATCATCATCTGGCCCTATTTTGCCCATTTACTGTTAGGTTAGGTGGCTCAGGAGGCGGCGTAAGAAATAGTCAAGTGAATCAGAAAAGAAAAGAAAGAAAAGAAAAGAAAAGAGAAAAGAAAAGAAAAAAGAAAAGGAAAGAAAAGGTTTATTGCGTCAAAGAGAAAAGAAAAGAAAAAAGAAAAGAAAAGAAAAGGTTTATTGCGTCCCGGGAGACCCACGTACCCCAAAGACAGGGCACGTGGATTCACGCCAACAGGGAGGGGGGCGCTTTTTTTATACTGCAGTTGGGTGAGGGGCGGGGACATGAGCTGAGGTATTCGGCTGAGGAAGTTTCAGCTGCAGGGGGTCAGTAAGGTGTTCAGGAAGGAGTCAGTATCTGTGTGGGGGTCGTGTTGATTCAGGGAGAAGCCGGTATCTGTGTCTGGCACGC